AGTGCAACGAGAGAAATCATCAATAAAGGTGACAAAATACTGAAAACCCAAAACAGACGTTGTTCGACTCGGACCCCAAATATCAGAATGAACAATAGAAAAAGGAGCATCAGCTCTTTTATTGACCCTATTAGCAAAGGAGGAGCGAGTGTGTTTTCCTTGCTGACAAGAATGACAGTTTAAAGACTTAAGATTGGATAAAAAGGGAACCATATGCTGAAGCTTGGAGAGGTTTGGATGACCCAGACGGCTGTGAATTAGCTCAGGAGACTCTGTGAGAGAACAGACTACTGGAGAAGGTGGTACAATCAGATAGTAGAGACCTCGTGACTCAACGCCTGCTCCAATCGTCTTCCCCGTACTCGAATCCTACATAGAAAAAGATTGTTTAGAGAAGGTAATAGTACATGAAAGAGAATGAATCAACTGGCTAACAGAGATTAAATTAAAAGGAATGCCAGGTATATAATAAACAGAACTCAAAGTTAAAAGGGGAGTTGGGTTGGCTTCCCCAATTCCACGAGTAGGAGCCTTAGTGCCATCAGCAAGAGTGACAGGGGGTAGGTTATTAGAATAAGAAAGTGAAGTGAAGAGATCTTTATTACCACAAAGATGATGAGTAGCACCTGAGTCTATTATCCAGGGTCCAAGAGATGATTGATAAAAACAAACAACATAATTACCAGTGTCTTGAGCAGGATGCTGAGAAGAAACCTTCTTGAGAAGTGCCTCATAGTCGGCACTTGAAAGAGTTACTAATCCAGTAGAAGGTGGCGTAGCATCAGTTTGAGCAAAGTTGGCAGTCAGTGGCTTCAAATGAGGGTACTTCCTATAGCAACGTTCTTCAAAATGCCCAAGATTCTGGCAATAATTGCAACGAGGCCTCTGTCTGCGGCCACGTCTGAGAGCGCGTCCACTGTTCCAAATGGAATCACGGGCCCGAGAAAAGAATGGAGATGGGGTAGTACCGGAGATGATGCCAGTCGTGTTTTTGGACGCATTATTTGAGCCCTCCATCACAAAATAAAAGGGATGACCAGAAAATAGCAAAGAACTACAAGAAAGCAAGAAATCGCGCAAAAACATTGCAAAAAAGGGTCCAAACAGCGGGTTTTTCACTGATATCTTTCAAACGGATGGGACCCACAACGAACGGAGACCAGATCTGGAAAGAGGGTGAGGAGGCGAGCAAGATGGTGGTGGCACGGCCTGGAACGGTGGCCGGACGATGGCTCACGCGCTGGAACAGTGGTTTGGCCGCTGGAGATTTCCACCGGTGCGTGGCGGCGCGTGGATGCTCTGATCAACACGCGGCTTGGACAAACAGGGTCGCCTCCCTGAGCCGCTCCTGATCGCGTGGTGGTTGGTCGGAAAAGTCGCCGGAAAAGCAGTCTGACGGCGGTGAACAGTGGCGGACAGTTGTTTTATGGCGGTTTCCGGCGATGAACGGAGGCTGATGATGTTTTTCCTGATGATACGAGGTTGAGGACAAAAAGAATTTGTGACTAAATAAGGGTTAGGTGTGAAAGGATGGTTGCCGGTATGATGCACGACACGATATGCAGAAGCAGGATTCCCAGAACACAAGCTCTGATACCAACTTGAAAAGGATGAATGTATTGTATATTGTGTATAATGTTGTACAAGAGTCCTCTATTTAAAGAGGTTAAATGACCTAATGGGCTAAGCCCAAATAACCTTCTAGAATAATAAACTAATAATAATAAAACTAATATTATTTCTAACAGGGTTTAACCTTCCACCCTGCTTATAACTTTTCTCCATTCTGTCCTAAGACACACCGTCCGCGCATCTATATCCCACTCCATTAAGTCTTATTTAACTACCTTTCCCCAGGCAAGTTTTGATTTACCTCTACCTCTTTTTGTGTCGAGCTCTTGATAACAAACTTTTGTTCTTACAGGAACATCCAGGGGCCGTCTCATTACGTGCCCAAATCACCTCAATCTATGTTCTCTCATCAATGTTATTAAAATCAAGATCTTACCTAAGATCGGAAGGGTATAATAAGATCGTAAATCGTTGAATCGAGACGAATCGTAAGATCCTATTTTTTTATTTTAGTTATAAAAGATATATTTATAAATACAAAATAATATTTAAACCACCACAACTTCAATCATTAAAGTTTAAAATTAGATTGAATTTTCTCCTTAGTAATAAAATAAAAGGGTCATAATAAAATAATAATAACATAATATATAAAATAATGCAATGCCAAAACACAAAAGCAAGAAATAGGAATAAATATATGGATTTCATATTTAATCATATAGTGAATTGGGAAATAGTAACAGACTAACAGGGTATGTGTAATTATATATAAAATAAAAGGGTCATAAAATGATAACAATAAAACAATATAAAAAAAAAATCAAACATTTAGAAATAGACCGATGGGTTTCATTTCATTGTACAAGGAACGTGATTCGAGGATAACAAAAAATCAAAACGGAACATCACCCAGGTAACAGAGCACAACGGGTATGCTCCTTGGCTCACACCACTGGGTTTCGCACCACAGTACCAAAAGCATAGACTCGCAGTCACGGTCACTGGAGAGAAGAAAACAATCGCAAATTTGAGTGGTCTCTTCAAGTCTTTGACAGTGTAAATGAAGATTTTCATTTTACACCATTACACCAGAAGCAGCGAGTAGCAGTCATTTTCACTAGAGAGAAGAAAGCAATCGCAAAATCTGAGTGCTTTCTTCAAGTTTTCGAGTATTTTTCAATTTTGGGTCATGGGTATTTTTAATTTTCCACATCATAAGGCAAATAGGTTTGAAATTTTTTAAATCGTTCCAACGGTGATATCGCACGATCCTACTGTCTTTACGTTCTTGCTCGTCGATCATGTACGATCTTGATTCAGACCCATTTTATATGCGATTCAAATTCGCCAGGGTGAGAAAATCGTAGGATCGTAGGATCTTAAGTTTTAACTCGCAATTTTAACAACACTATCTCTCATCTTTTCAGTTACCGGTACTACTTCTACCTTTCCTCGAATATCTTCAATTCTTATCTTATCCATCCTCGTATAACCACACATCCACCTTAACATCCTCATTTCTGCTACTCTCATTTTATGCTCGTGTTGCATATATGCTAGCCAACATTCAGCTCCATATAACATTGCAGACCTTACTACTGTTCTATAGAATTTTCCTTTTAGCTTAAAGGGAATTTTGTGGTCACACGTAAACCCAGATGCACTCCGCCATTTCATCCATCCTGCTATGATTCTATGATTTACATCCTCATCAATATCACCACTTTTTTGCAAAATTGATCCCAAGTTTCTAAAAGCATCTGATAGGATGCTCCTAAAGGTATAAGCTAGGAAGAGTTACAGGGGATTATTGGAGAGGGAAAATGTTGTTAGTAAGAATATTCTAGAAGGTTGATTCTGTTAGAGGAGAGAAGGAAGTAATGCTGAGATGGCAAAGCTAGTAGAGGAAATAAAAGGTGTAGAGTGGCGTGAGCATAAGTAGGCTGGAAATAGGAACTTGGATTGGGAGAGCTCAGTGCCTCTAGAATTGCACTGAACCAGCCTCAGGGCATATTATCGTTGTTGTTCTTTTTATTTCTGCAATTGTCTTTCTGTCATAAATACCTTTGTTATTGTACTTCTTCCATTGATTAATATACAGAAAACCCAGTGTACTGGACCACTTGTGTGTGTTTTGTGCCATTTGTTTTGCTATTAGATCTAGTTCCTATCAGCATCTTTCTTGGGTACCTCTTGACCAAGTAGATGCACGAGGTCTTGATCTCCATCTCTTACTAGAGAAAACTCACACCTCATATACTCAGTCTTGCTCCGGCTTAACGTGAAACCTTTAGACTCCAAAGTGCTTCTCCACAATTCAAGTTTCCTATTAACACCGTCTTTGGTCTCATCAATAAGCACAATATCATCTGCAAAAAGCATACACCACGGCACTTCCTCTTGAATGTCTTTTGTTAGTTCATCCATCACTAAGGCAAAAAGATAAGGACTCAGAGCTGAACCTTGGTGTACACCTACTGTAATAGGAAAATAAATTGATGTTCCATTACAAGTTTTCACCTATGTAGTAGCCCCATCATACATATCCTTAATTGCATTTACATACTTTGACGGTGCTTTTTTCTTCTCAAGAACCCACCATAAAACTTTTCTCTAGACCCTATCGTATGCTTTCTCAAGATCTATGAACACCATATGTAATCTTTCTTTTTTTCTCGATATCTTTCCATCAATTGACGCATCAAGAAAATAGCTTCTGTGGTACATCTTCCTGGCATAAATCCAAATTGATTTACAGAAACCTTGGTCTCTCTCCTCAAACGATTTTCAATAACTCTCCGACAACTTCATAGTATGGCTCATAAGCTTAATGCCTCTATAGTTAGAATAATTCTGGATATCTCCTTTGTTTTTGTAAATAGGCACAAGCACACTCTTCCTCCAAGCACCAGACATCTTATTTGTTTGAAGAATCTTATTGAAAAGATTGGCCAGCCAATTTATTGCCACCTCCCCGAAGCCCCTTCACACTTCAATAGGTACGCCATTGGGTCCCAAAGCTTTATTAGTCTTCATCCTCTTTAAAGCCTCCTTGACTTCATGTATATTGATTCTGCGCACAAATCTTCTATTCAGATCATCATAAGCATCCTCCAAGCCCACCTCGTTTTTATCGCCATCCCCATTAAAAAATTTGTTAAAGTAATTCATCCATCTTTCATTTACATCTTCATCTCTTACCAAAAGTTTTTAGTTTTCATCCTTGATGCATCTAATTTGGGTGAGGTCTTTACTTTTCTTATCCCTCATTTTTGCAAGTATGTATAGTAAACAACATATGGCAAATTGTTGAGATTTTAAACAATTATGTGAAAGAAACGGTGCGGATGCATTACACATGGTGGTTTCTAAAAGTATGTCATGAGGCAACATGAAAGAAGAGAGGTGAAGAACAAAGAAAATACCTTTTTCCATCCGGGTTAAAGGTTGATGCATTAATTGGTCCAAAATGCCGTTTCACACCCCCAATTTCCTCTTGAAGAATCTAACAAATGAAAATATCAAATAAAATAAAGAAGTTGAACAAGTACATATTCAACATCATTAGAGGTAGAGGAAAAAGAAACAAGCAAATTTAATTATCGAAGAATTTGGCTTCAAATTTGCCCTCACAATGATCAGTAGTTACAGCTTATGCATCCTGACCACCTCCTATTACCATCTACAAAAAACACATTGCATGGAATTCAGAAAACCATACAAGGACCGAAATAATAATATATGGTCCAAATAAATGGAAGTAGGAAACTAAAGTGGATAAAAGATTTTCATCTGGTGCTACCAAGTATGAAATATTTGAAAGTGCATTTATTTCATGAATTAGTGAACAACTGCGATATGCAAAAATGGTGTTAGTGATTTATGGGAAATAAATTTGTATGAAGAAAGATAGGGGCTAGGCATATTCTTAACCAGCTTCCTAAAATTATAGGAAACCTTTTTGAAGGATGAAGATGTCAATCAAATAAAGTAGAAACATCAAATAAAGCAGAGGCAAAATCACTTGCATGATTAACAAAACACTATTAGTATGAATATTATAACTTGAGGTTAACTAGTTTACAATGAACAAATACATACATGATCAAGAAGAGGTGACATAGGGACTGGATTGTCTGGGCGTTCTGTCACATATGCCTTGATAAGGGTAAATGTTCAAGTGCAGACCTAAATTAAAAGATTTCTCAGTTCAATGGTAAAAAACCCAGAAAACTAATAGTGCACCTTTACTGATAATTCATAAAAACCAAACTATCAGCAATGATGAATTCTTAAAAAACAGAAAATAAAAATTGTTATGAAATTAAAAGAGACAATAACTCTCAAAAAGTGATTGAAGTACCCTTGAAAACATCCCTATGAAGTTCAGTTTTTTTGTGCAATGGACATACTACTTTGAGAATCATCTGACAAACTTCTCCTAAATTCACATTTTCCTGATATTTAAAGCTTTTCGATTTTAATCCAACTGGATCCTGGTACTTTCTTTACATCCCTTGTCTCCATTAGTTCTCTCAGAATCACCACGCCATCCCAATTGCTCAATTCAGCAAACATGTTAGACAATAATAAATAGGTTGATGGGTCTTCTTTGTCTTGTCGTATGCCATGTTCTGCTGCACGTTTCCCAGTTTCCACATCCCCATGAGCCTGACAAGCACTGAGCAATGTTTGCCAAATTAGCGTACTTGGCTGAAATGGCATTCTTAGGATTAACTCCTCAGCTTCTTTAATAAGTCCAGCTCGGCCTAGGATATTCACCATACAGGCATAGTGATCTTCCCCAGGGATAATTCCATAGTGTTTGGTCATAGAGGAAAGGTACTTCCAACCCTCATCAACAAACCCACCTTGACTACATGCATAGAGAACACAAATGAAGGTGATGTAATTTGGTTCTACACTCGTCTCCCTCATTTCATCAAAAATTTGAAGAGCTTCTCTGGATTGGCCATTCTGTGCACATGCCATTATCATGGTTGTCCAGGAGATGACAGAACGGGAATCCATAGATCGAAAAAGACCCCATGCACTATCCATGCAACCACATTTTGCATACATATCAAGAAGAGCATTATCAACACAGACATCAACGTCACTTCCAAGTTTGATCCTCAAGCCATGAACTTGTTTCCCTTCCTGTATTGATGCCAAACTCGCACAAGCATTTAGGGCGGTTGCCAAGGTAAATTTATTTGGCTTTGCACCCGCTTTCTTCATTTGTGCAATGACTGCAAGCGCTTTTCTTGGTTCCCCACACTGTAAACATCCGGCTGCCATCTGGGACCAAGAGCAGACATCTTTGTTAGGCATCTCATCAAAAGCTCTGAAAGCCTCCACCAACTTATGATTTTTTATGTACATATCAGCTAGAGAGTTCCCTACACAAATGTCATCCCCATAACCACTCTTGACAAGGTGTGCATGAACTTGCATTCCCATTTCAAGATAAGATAGAGCAGCCATCCCAGTGAGGGCGCTGGCAAATGTGAAGTTATCAGGTTTTATACCCTTGTGATTCATGCAACACCAAAATCCAGGAATCTTCTCACAAGAAAACTGCAAGTAACCACCCATCATGGTATTCCATGACACAATATCCTTGCCAGGACTTGTCTCAAAAACATGCAAGGCTTCCGCCAATTTACCATGCCTCACTAAGACAGTCAGAAACGCATTCAGTAAGAAGATATTAGACTCAAATCCTGACCGCACAATTAATGAATAAATCTGGTAAGCCTGAGTAACATACTCAACTAATGAGCACGCCTGGAGAGCACTAACAAATGTGAACTCATTTGGTTTTATGAGTCCCTCATGATGCATACGGCTGAACAAAGAAAGAGCTTTCGAAGCACAGGCATTTTGGATACAACCGGCCATGACAGCAGACCAGGACACCACATTCCTCTCGGACATTTCTTCAAACAATTTGAGACCACAAGGAAGGTCTCCAATTTTAACATACATAATAAGCAAATGGTTTTGAAGAAAAAGAGTTAAAGGAATAGACCCTTTGATGAATTTAGCGTGAACTGCTCTTCCGCTGAGCAAGTTTGAGTCTTGCACTTTTACTCGCAACAGATTCGAATAGTTCTCCTCCTCTGTGGCCATGGTATGCGCCTTTTTTGATACGAAACATGCCCGGAACAGGAGGGCTGATTTTCTCGCTTCCAAAAAAACTGGGGAGCGAAACAGACACGACTTCAGCTCCGGTCTTGTTGTGTCTGAAAAGCACTGCTTTTGATTTGCATTCTGGAATGAAATCCTCGGAAACTTTCTGAAACCCCAATTTATGGGCAACTTCATCCTTTACCTTGCGAAATCTACATCCAACCAAGAAAATCAAAAACAATAATAATAATAAATATAGAATATTTTCACTACCAAAATTTTTAACTATCAACTTATTACATATCTAATTACCATTGCATCAAAGAGAAAGAATGCTAAATAAATTTGAAGAGAGAGAAAATATTAATCTAATGATAATTAGATAAGTAGTAAGTTGGTAGTGAAAAATTTTGGTAGTGAAAATATCACTCATCTAATAAATAATAGATAAGAATTTTAATAAATTAAAATTAGAATTAGAATTATAAAAGTAAAGATACCTGATGAAAGGCTTTTTGACCCTTATAACTCTTTATTAATAATTAATTACCAAATTGACCTTCATTGTAAACTATTTCAGAAATTTAACCTCCTACAAAAACATAACACCAATCTGTTCATGTTTGACCGTTGACCACCAAGCCTACCCGGGTACACCCTCCTTACTCGGGTATTTTTTGAAATTTTCTGCTTACCCGAGTAAGGAGGGGTATACCCGGATATATTTCTTGAGATCTGAAAAATACATTGAATTATTTACCCGGGTAAGGAGTGGTGTACCCGGGTAAATCTAAATCTCGACCAGAAATGATAGCAACTTTTAAATCCATGTGAACATTTATGTCTCAAAGGAGAACCCATTGTTGAAGTGGGAGATCTTGAGCGTGAGAATGAAAGGTTTCCTTGAACTTGATCTTTATCTCTGATGGAAAATGAGGGTGATGAATATGCTAATGACCATGAAGATGAAGATGATGAGAACGAAGAAGGTGACCAAGATGATGATGGTGACACATGAGCCTTATTCCTTGAGGAGCCTGCAAACCTTGGCAAAATGCTTGAAAAAAATATATTGGCTTTTGAATTTCTTCTCTTGACATTGGACTTGGAACTAGAATAATAGGAAGGTGGGGGTGTAAGAGGTGGCAGAGAGGTCTCTAACAAGGGGTGCTCAGGGGTTCCTGGTTGTGCCTCCCACATGAAAGGAACTGCCAGTGATGTTTTTCTCTAATAGAAGACCCTCCTTGAAGAAGAGTTAGCCTTGGAAGTTTCCTTGGCCATTAGCTTGGAGAAAAATCTATCATCCCGTGTTATTCTGAAGGACATTTCAGCTGAGTGATAATTGGCACTATCACTGAAGGAGATTTACCCGGGTACATCCCTCTCTATCCGGGTAAACAATTCAAGCAATTTCTCATATCTCAAGAAATATATTCGGGTACACACCTCTTTATAAGCATAAAATTTTAAAAAATACCCGGGTAGGAAGGGGTGTACCCGGGTAGGTTTGGTGATCAACGGTCAAACATGGGCAGATTGGTGTTATGTTTTTTTGGGAGGTTAAATTTTTGAAATAGTTTACAATGAAGGTCAATTTAGTAATTAATTATTAATAAAAGGTTATAAGGGTCAAAAAAACTGAGAAAGATGATGGATATATATATAAAATATAAGAAAATAATATAAGTGACGTGTAAACAAAAAGAATAAAATGATAGTTGCTTGCCAAATCAGGAATAATAAAAGAAATATCCTTTGTTTAAAAGTGATTATATTTTTCGAATGTTAATCTTTTTGTGATTTTTTTTTTTTAATGTTTTGTCCATTCTGTGAAATATTTGAAAGGGACATGACACATTATTGTTTTTCGTATTTTTAGTTTAGCTTCATTTATTGTTGGTGGCCAAAATTTTTATATCAAATTAATTAACAAGTAAAATAGGGATAAAATAACCAAGTTAATTTAATTACTAACAGTGTTAAATGTGAATTTGGATGAAATAAAATTACAGGGGTTAATTGATAAAAAAAAATATTAAGGGTATAAATGATAAAGAGTAAACCACAAGAAGATTTATCAAATTTGTCCCTATTCTTTTATTAGATAGATAGATAGATGTGTACAACAATTATTTTGAGTTAATAATACACACCACTAAAATAAAATGACATTCATATTTCAAGCATAACAAATATTTAGGGATTGGTTCGTTTAACCATCATTAATTCTCTATGCATTTTCTATTTTTTTTTTGTCATCCAAGTTCATTTTTAATGTAACTAAACGTTTGGTTAGTCTCTTTATTTTGCCCTATCAACAGGTAAAAAAAATACAATGGAGATAAATGATAAATGTTTAAAAAAGCATAGATATAAATGATACATGAGGATTTTTAAAAAATAAATAAATAAATTCTCTCCAACCATAATTAAACTAATGAAAAGACGTAACTATGAGAAATGATGTATAATTATCAAGTTAGTGGGGAATGGGGATATGACTGTTATAAATAGAAGGGTTTTGTTGAACACTTGAAAGAATTTGTTGTTAAAGAAAAAAAAATATTGTGAAAAAATAAAAATTGGGATGAACGTCGTTGTATTATATTTTTTGATGCTCTTATGATATATTTAAATTGGAATTTGACGATGTATAGTGTTTAAATCAGGAAGTTTACTTGACAAGCATCTTGCTGCGGTATCATGTTCAATAGTCACATACGACCACAATCTCTTAAAATGGATTTAATATGACCTCAAACTTTAAAATCTTCACAAATAAACCTCATGCAATGCTTGCCTTAAACTTGGAAGCTCTCCTTATTTGTCTTCAATAAATATCTAAATTTGAGTACAATCTCATTAACATTTATTTCAAATTGGTTGAGGTTGACGGCCCATGAATCCAAAAAACAAGAAAAGATTGAGAGAGAAAAAAAATACAAATAAAAAATGGGTTCACTTTTTCTTTTTTTGGAAATATTACATCGGTTCATCGCTTCGCGATTAGTCCGATTCGGGGCGGGTTCAGGATTAAGGCTTTAAACCCCTCCCAAAGGTGGTACTGAGGAGGTTCGAACACATGCCCTCACCCCCACCTGCTCAGCTCCCAAGGGTTCACTTTTTCTGCAGTTACTGCATATAAGTTATTTGCAGTAAGTCTAATACGATGTTGTTTTGGGACGAAAATCATGGTATTTTTATAATTTTAATTTATTTCTGGGTTATTATAGTCTTTATAATTATAATTTTTTATCTTTCAATCCCAAAGCGACGTCAATTTGGAAATAAATGCAGATAACTTATCTGCAGTAACTGCAGAAATATTTTTCAGATAAAAAATAACACTCGAAATGAAAAATAAAAAAGTGAAAATAAAGACAAATAAGAGAAAGAAAAAAATTAAAAAGATATAGAGGTAAAGGAAAAAAAATAAAGGGAGAAATATGTTAAAATGACTAAAAAGAATTTTCTAGAACATAGGAAAAAAAGCAGATCTAACCCACCTCAATGCTAATATTTTTCCTTCAATCTGTTCTAAAACACATCGTCTCCAAATCTATATCTCACTCTGTCATGTTTTACTATTTTTGTCTAAGTAAGTTTTGGTCAACTTACTCTTGGTAACAAACTTTTGTTTTAATGAGAGTATCTAGGGATCTTTACGTTACGTACCCAAACAACCTTAATCTATGTTATCTCATCTTTTCAACCACCGGTATCACTCTTACCTTTCGTTGAATATCTTTATTTCTTTATCTTATCGTTATATGATCACACACCCATCTTAACATTCTTATTTCTGCAACTCCCCATTTTATGCTCATGTTGCTTGTATATGGGTCAATATTCATCTCCATATAACATTCCAAGTCTTACTGCTATTCTATAGAACTTTTCTTTTAGCCAAAGAAGAATCTTACGATCGTAGAAAAGCCCTAATGCACTACCCCATTTCATCCACCTTGTTATGATTCTATTGTTTACATCATCATCAATCTCTCAACCCTTTTACAAAATTAATCCCCGATATCTGAAAGTAATTTTCTTGAGTACCTCTTTTCCAAATCAAGTACATGAAATCTTGATCTCTATCTCTTGTTGAATCAAACTCACACTTCATATAGCTAGTCTTATTCCGACTTAGCGTATATCATTCATAGTCCAATGTGCTTGTACACGATTCTAGTTTTCTTTTAACACTCATCTTAGTCACAACAATAAGTATAAAATCATCTGCAAATAGCATACACAATGGCATTTCATATTGGATATCTTTTGTTAGTTCATCATAACTAGAGCAAAATGATAAGGATTCAAAGCAGAGTCTTATTGTACACAATCGTGATAAAAAAATAACTTGACGTTCCATCACAAGTCTTCACACATGTAGTAGCACTATCATACATATCATCAATTACCTTTATATACTTTGATGGTGCTTTTATCTTCTCAACCACGGATTCTTTATTAAAACTCTATCATGTCTTCTCGAGTCTATATACATTCTATGTAAGTCATTCTTCTTTTCTCGATATCTTTCAATCAATTGTCATATCAAGAAAATAGTTCCCATGGTATATCTTCCTATATAAATCTGAATTGATTTACCGAGTCTTTAGTTTTTCCTCTCAATCAATGTTCAATAACTCTCTCCCATAATTTCATAGTATGACTTATAAGCCTAATGCCTCTACAATTAGAACAATTATGGATATATCTTTTGTTTTTCTAAATAGACACAACCATATTTTTCCTCCATACACCGAACATCTTATAAGTTTGGAAAATCTTATTCAAAAGATTTTTCAACTAACTTATTACTACATCCCCCTAGGTGTCTCTACACTTCAATAGGGACATTATCATGTCGCAAAGCTTTATTAGTCTTCATCTTCTTTAATATCTTGTTAACTTCATGAGCTTTGATTCTACACACAAACCTTATATTCAAATCATCATAAGTATTGTCCAAAATCCCCTCCATTTTATTGTTATCCCTGTTAAAAAAATCTTAAGGTGGTGTTTGGTTGAGAGCTTTTCAGCGGATATCTATGTTTCTCAAGTATAGCTTTTAGAAACACCATGTTTGTTTCAACGTATTTTCACCAAAAACCCATCTATCCAATTTATATGGATTTATGAGAAACATAGATATCCGCACTGTTTAGAAACCCAATTTGAAGGTGGGATTTTTCGAAAAACCGGTTATCTGGCTTTTAATGCACTGTTGATTTCATAAAGTTACTTAATTTTCCCAGTAAAGTTTTTCTCCACCAAACAACTTTTTTTTACATTTTTCTACCTATCTCACTTTATCTATCTTTCCAATCATTTCTCTATCTATTACATTTTCCTACTATTCCAAAAAAAATTCGTCAACCAAACGCCCCCTAAGTAATTGTTTTTTTTCTTTTCAAAAAGACCATTATGTCCTCCCTTTACTTTTTACGGTGTGTTTCAAATTTTTTTTGTCAACTTCATTTTATAATATTTTTAATCATATGTAAGATTTTAAATACATTTTTTATTTAATAATTTCTTACTTTTTTTTATCGATACTTGTTAACAAATTTCTATTTACAATTTTACATCTTGACAAACTTGCTTGGTATTAACATCCACATCCAGACTACCTCCTTCTTTCCAAAAAAAGAAAAAAAAGTTAACAAAGGTCCTTAAAATATTAATTAAGTATTAAAATCAAAAAAAATTAAATGAAAAATAAACATTTAATATATTAAGAGTTATAAAACATTTCACACTAGCAATTAAAAGTATTTAATAGAAAGTATTACATGCTCTTTTTTTTGTATAAGTCAGGATATCTTCCATAAAATTAATTCTCTCAAAGCGTAAAAATCACCAAAGTGAATATTACATGCTCCTTAACTAGTGTTTTTAGAACACACTAAAATCGTTTCTTTTTGTACTAAAAATAAAAAAAATCGTTTCTTTTCAATCGTTTCTTTTCAATGCCCAGTAATCAATCAATTTACTTAAAAGCATGGATTTACTTATCATTATTCTTTCTTAGACACTAAATTAAGTTTTGATGTATGAAACTGTTTACACTTGACTCCTGCTTTGATATACTATGTTGCATTGATATTGATATAAGATACGATACGATACTCCAACACATCAACTCTAAAAAATATTAAATTTCGACATATTAGAACACATTTTGATATTAAATAATATTTTTAATTTATATAATGTATATTATATTTAATATTCAACAATTTAACAAAAAATAAAACTAAACTTATAATACTCATCAATTTTGAAAAGAAACATAAGATGTAAATATTTTCTATTATATTTTCAAATTAAAAATCTCTTATACACTTCAATATGATTTATTTGGTATCCAATTTTAATTTTTATTATATCAGTTTGGTAAAGTATCAATTAATTTTTTTTATGATATGTAATGAAATTTCAAATATTATAGATGTCGAAGCGTGTCAGATATGACACTTTATATTTTTTAAAATGTGGTGCAATCATAGTTGGTATATATGAAAAACCAGTATTCCACATGTTCACTTACAATTTTATTTATTTGAAAAAACGGCTTGTTTAGCTATTTCCATCCCAAATAGACTATAGAAGTAATAGTTAGACATAACAAGTTCCTTCACTTTTAATTTAAGACTCTTCCATTAGCTTCTGTAAAACCCTCCAATATCGCATGCAAGAAGGGTTCATGTGAATTGCCCGAATAACCCATTTCCGAGGACTCTCAGAGGATTCCATGCCAGATGTCGGGTTGGGCCCAACTTTCAACTGTCTTGCAAGCAAATGCATTTGAAAGAAGAGCTCTGCAGGCCTCATTTCTGAAAAAAAAAATAGCAGACATTAGAAAGTTCGTCCACAAAAAGTTTAGCAATTAATATATACAAAAACACCAATATCAAATATTGCACGAGATTCTATTAATCGGATGCGAGTCAACTGATAAATCACAAAGCATTTCAACTCAACCTTGCAATAGCAGATAACAGTTTGAATAATTTGAACACGTTGAGACTAATAATCCTGCAAAATTTGCTCAAACAACTACCAAATTGCAAAGATAATGCCAATCTTTTATAAGAAATACAGCAACAGAAACTGAAAAACATTTAGTTCTCCAGTAATTCGTTCCTCACAACTATAAAAACATACTTCCACTTTCAGACAGAGCATAGAAATCAAACCTGACGGCCAATTATACCATTCAAGGCCAAGGTTTCTGTTCCACTTCTCCTTAAAACCGAGGCTTCCTTCTGCTTGAGCCACCAATAGTGAGGCAAAAGGTAAGGGAATCAGTGAAAGCTCATGAGCTTTGGTAAGACTCTTAACAGCCCGTGATAGGAACTGACTCAACTGAGAACCATCGCACTGCTTGACAAGCTCCATACAGATGGCACCTACATAAAAACAATATGATCAGGTGGATATAAATCTAAAAAACCATCTTGATGCATTGGGGGAAGAGAAGATGGGAAAAGGAATCCAGAGACAGAACTAACTGCCAATCGAAAGTATCAAGGGCAACGGGCAAACTCTAGTACACAAAATCTTCCCAATTTTGTGAGAATAGGGGTGATGGTCAATTATACACAGCCTCTTCCCTGCATTTTTGCAAAAAAGATTGTTTTCTAGACTGTAAGCCATGACCCTTCTGCCTTCTAGCGGTAAAGGAGCAACCTTACCATTACTTCAAGGCTCACCCTCTGATTGAAAGTATCAATTCATGGCATAAAAAAGGAAGAAAAAAGAAAGGGAGACATAATGTGTTTTACTCGAATGAAAGGATAGAATAAGGCAATCAATTTAATCCCAAAGCTTAAACTGCTAGATAAAGGCACATTAATAATATTTAATCATTTATTAATAGAATAGAGAGCGATGAAGATCGCACTCGTAATCACTTGATCGCAGAGGCTTTGATATCATTTAAAGCACCATTTTAACCAAAAAAACTTAAGTTATTAGGTGAAGGCCATACAAATAGTTTTATATTTTTCTAACAAATAGAAACTTTTTTTGGTAAGAAGAGGGGGGAATAAATTACCCAATACAAAATGAACTTAGAATGCAATATTTACAAATCAAGAGTTTATAAAATTATCATACTAACTGATCAGTAACTACCAGAGAAATTCTTCCAAAGTATACCCTTAACATCTTTTCTTTACCATCTAAAACACCCTTGTTGCATGTACAAAAAAAAAAAGAAAAAAGAAAAAAAACCCTTGTTGCCACTTGGTTGCAACGGGTCCAATATTCAAATTCAAGTAATTGCCTAAAGTATTTCAAGTGATAACGTGATACTAAGTATAAATCATGTAAAAAAGAGTTAAATGAAGCTCTCGATCAATCAAATAACAAATACATACCATGACATAGAAAGAGGCAACTCTCAAAACCTGCCAATGAACAAGCCTGTGCCATGAAATCTTCCGCTGACACTAAATCCCTCTTCTGCAAGGAAATCATACCCCTTACCAGATTATATACAGCCATCCACGTATTCCATGAGTTTCCACCCCTTTTAACACATTCTTCAAAGTTCAAGTCTATGACATTAGAATTGATTGGCAGTTCATATCGACATTCCATAAGTTTGAGACAGATCCAACCAATATGATAATCAGTCCTGAGCTCCGAGCACCTAATATATTCTTTCTGAAAATTTAGATGATCACCTTTCATGGCATACACACGGCACAATAGTAGATGTGCAAAAAATAAATAATCATCAGGAAGCACAAGCTCAGAAGCCTTTTTGGCATGGGTGATACAGGTCATGTGACTCCCACATTGTAAACTGATCTCAGAAGCACAAAGCAGAAGTTGAAAGTGTCTATATAGACACAACGTTTCTGTTTTGCTATGCAATTCATTTGAAAGAGCAACATAAGTTAGACGATTTATTACAACACAAAGATGATGAGGAAATCTCTGTTCACGTGCCCTCTGAAGATAGTTAAGAACAAGCAAGTAGCGTGCATCATGATTCCATGGTTTCTGATGAAAGCATCTGCAATTTTGAGGGGGAACATATATGATTATTCTTGACCTAGAAATAATGATACTTAGATATCTTAAAATAGAGCCACCAGAATGGTGAGGAATTCTCTCAGATTTATTCCCAAGAATATAAAACTCTACAATTTTTGTACTCCAATTTGACCCAAGGAATATTTTTTCCCCAATATAACAAGAAACGATTTGATCTGGCAGTAATATATGCATAGCCTAGCTTGGAAGAATTTTAAACAACACCACAATAGGATCAAATTTCTGGGGCAATTACACGGCATAAAGGAAAATAAAAGTAGTACTTCTGCAAGTATCTGATAGCTCCAGGATGACTAGAACACTGCTTTGTACAGGTTGGAAAAATAAACTTTGAACTGCTGTTGCCAGTGGCATAGCAAGCAACTGCTCCAGCACCATGAATATCAGAAGCTGATTTTAAACCTTCTTGATCAGAAAGATCAAGATGGTCCAGCTTACAACACCTTGTTGCCACATGACAATTGTTTAACTCTTTACTTGATAGCAAGAGATAGCCAAGAAGGTTCCTGTTCCCAAAGAAATGTGCAACAGAAAAGATGTTAGCAGACCTCACAGAAGCTAGCAAGATCAAATAAGCATGATTAAAATACCAGGTACAAAATGGCCGCCAACAAGACTTATTTCCAAACCCTTGGGAGGTAGTGTATGTTTACTAGAATTTAGAAGCATGGAAGTGTCATTTGTTATATTTCCTTCTGTTGCCAAGTTGAAAGTTGTAAGTGGGGGGAGGAGAGGAAGTGAGGAACTAGGGTAAAAGGGATACTGTTGAGATATATAAAATCATTAAAAAGCTTTCACCCACCAGCTTAAGCTTTTGGGTTCAATTGGTTCTTTACATGGTATCAGAGCCTCGGTGTATCGGGTTCGATCCTCATCGCCCCCCACTTTCTTTCTTAGCACAGGTAGGTGCGCCTACGCATTGTCCACCCTTCAAGCCCAGTGGGCTCTCGTGTGAGGGGGCGTGTTGAGATATATAAAACCATTAATATACCCTCACCGATAAGCTTAAACTTTTGGGTTGAATTGGTTCTTTACATGGTATCAGAGCCTCGGTGTACCGGGTTCGATCCTCTGTAGAATATTCTAGATTGTGATTTATCATTTATTAGTGTCTCTTTGTATTGTACATAAGTCAAAGTTTTCTGCTTGCTATTTATTTATGTAGGTTCAGCTATTTATTGAGGTAGTTGAGGTAGAAGTAGTTGAGGTAGCTTATTTATTGAGGTAGCCCATTGTACTCAATATAAAAGGACCCATTGGGTCTCTCAATGAATTAAGAAAGTGTTATTCGGACAAAACACTTCCTTTTTTTTTTCATGGTATCAAGAGCTGGTTATATTCCAGTCTCTTCCCCGTTCTGATTTATTTTTAAGTCATTTTCCTATTCCTTTTTTTCGTTTTAGCCACTGCCCAAGCCAGAATCCTTACCTAGACACCTCCAACCACGAAACCAAGGCCACCATTAGGTTCAGAACAAAATTTTGAGCCAGCCCACAGAAGACCCGTAGCAGTACTGTTCATCACTGTAGCAGTACTGTTCATTACTGTAGTAATTACTGTTTCACTGTGGCCAACCCTCTTCCTGTTTTGAAGAAATTGATGTCTCAACCTGCTGAGGCAACTAGTCATGCTGCTCAAAGAGGTATGGCATTCCATGTTGAACGTAGTAATCGTTGGATCCTTGATTCAGGGGCCTCTGATAACATGACAGGTAATGCAACCTTGTTTTTCTCCTATACCCCTTACTATCACCTGTCACGAATAAGAACAGCTGATGGGAATTTCTCCACTATTGCGGGAAAGGGATCCATTAAACTTTCTGAGCATATTATTTTGAACTCAGTACTTCATGTTCCCTCTCTTACTTGTAGTCTCATCTCTATTAGCAAACTTACTGCTAAGTTGCATTGTGTTGCTTAGTTCTTTGCAAATGCTTGTATCTTTGATGATTGGCAGTGCTAGAGAGGAAGAAGGGCTCTACTATTTTACAGAGGTTCATTGTGAAAAGAGGATTTTTTCGAACCACTCTCTATGTTTATCAGATGACTGTAATGATGTTTTCTTATGGCATCGCAGGTTGGGACACCCAAATTTTGTTTACCTCCAGAAGTTATTCCCGAACTTATTTATCAATAAAAAGCCAAGTTCCCTTCTTTGTGATATTTGTCGGCTTGCAAAGCACTCTCGTGTCACTTATTCTCCTAAGAAATATCATGAATCTTCTCCCTTTACATTGATTCATAGTGATATTTGGGGACCTGCTCGTGAAAAAAATGTCTCGGGTGCTCGTTGGTTTATTACTTTTATTGATGATCATTCTAGGGTATGTTGGGTATATCTCTTAAAAGATAAGTCTGAGGCAGCATCCACTTTTAAAAACTTTCATGCTATGATTCAAACTCAATTTCAGACCTCTATCAAAATTCTACGAACTGACAATGATACTGAATATTTTAATTCAGTTCTTGGAGATTACCTAAACCAGAATGGAATTATTCATCAAAGTTCTTATCCTAACACCCCTCAACAAAATGGGGTGGCTGAAAGGAAAAATAGACATCTAATTGAAGTTGCTCGAGCTCTTTTATTCGCGATGCATGTCCCTAAATATCTGAGGGGGAAACCGTCTTGACAGCCTGTTATCTCATTAATCGGATGCCTTCTCGGGTACTAAATTTTCATTCTCCTTTGTCCTGTCTTACTAAATCTTTTCCCTCTTTCAGTGCTCTTTCTTCTCTTCCTCCCAAAATATTTGGCTATGTGGCTTTTGTGCATATTCCTCCACATCACAGATCCAAACTTGACCCTAAATCTATTCGATGTGTCTTCATAGGATATTCCCCAAATCAAAAAGGTTATAAGTGTTACTCACCTTCTCTCCGTAAGGTTTTTGTTTCCATGGATGTTACCTTTTATGAAACACAATCCTTTTTTTCCCCGACTTCTCTTCAGGGGGAGTCTATTGGTCTTGGTATAGATGAAGATAAGCCTGGAAAACCACATGATGCTGCTGTCTTACCTTGGCCTTTGGAAACAGGGGGAGTTATTGGGAAGGAAACAGGGGGAGCAACTATACCTGAGTCTAATGATCCTCCTTCTAATCAAGCAACTATACCTGAGTCTAATGATCCTCCTTGTGATCCTCTTGGAAAATGGGGAAAATTTTACAGCAGGCGCAAAACACATCAAGATGCTCTAGACTGCTAGGATCCTGACTCGAGTCCTTGTTCCAGCAACCCACTTGAATGCACTAGTACAACCAACATTGATATGCCTATTGCTCTTCGGAAAGGTACTAGATCTTGCACTGCTCATCCTATTTCCCATTATATCTCATATGAGAAGTTGTCTCCAGGTTTTCGTGCTTTCAACACTATGTTAGATAGTACCAGGATACCCAAAAATATTCAAGAAGCACTTGATGACCCAAAATGGAGGAATGTTGTATTAGAAGAAATGGATGCACTTATAAAAAATGGAACATGGGAGTTTGTGACATTACATAAAGGAAAGAAAATTGTTGGCTGCAAATGGGTATTCACAATGAAATTTAATGCAGACAATAGCATCAATAGGTATAAGGTCAGATTAGTTGCTAAGGGGTTTACTCAGAGTCATGGGATAGATTATCAGGAGACATTTGCTCCTGTTGCCAAACTTAACACTATCTGCGTTCTGCTATCTCTTGCCGCCAACCTTGATTGGCCATTGCAACAGCTAGATGTGAAGAATGCCTTCTTGAATGGTGATCTACATGAGGAAGTTTACATGGATCCACCTCCTGGTTTTGAAAAAGGGGATGGTTCTGTGTGCAAGTTGCAGAAGTCTCTCTATGAACTTAAACAATCTCCCAGAGAATGGTTTGGAAAATTTACTCAAGCTGTTAAGGGACGAAGGTTCACCCAAGCTCAGACTGATCACACTTTATTTTTTAAACACTCCGACAAAGGAAGAATTGCTATTCTGATTGTTTATGTTGATGACATAATTGCCACTGGTAATGATAGCGAGGAGATAACCTCTTTAAAAAAATGTTTAGCTGACCAGTTTGAACTAAAAGATCTTGGATCTCTCAAATATTTCCTTGGCATGGAAATTGCTCGGAGTAAGGAAGGAATTTCTTTAACTCAGAAAAAATACATTCTAGACCTGTTGCAAGAAACAGGTATGCTTGGGTGCAAGCCGGCAGAGACTCCAATTGAAGCTAATATCAAGATGGGAGTTGAGGACGGGGAAGATGTTGATAGGGAGCAGTACCAGAGACTAGTAGGGAAATTAATCTATTTGTCTCACACTCGTCCAGATATTGCTTTTGTTGTGAGCATGGTTAGCCAATTCATGCATTCTCCTAAGGAAAAACACCTTAGTGCTGTTTATAGAATTCTCAAGTACCTCAAAAATACCCCTGGTCGAGGAATTTTCTTTAAAAAGGGGCACAAAAGGATGATTGAAATCTATACAGATGCAGACTGGGCTGGCTTTGCAATGGACCGAAGATCTACTTCAGGATATTGTACTTATGTCTGGGGAAACCTTGTGACCTGGAGAAGTAAGAAACAAAATGTTGTTGCAAGAAGCAGTGCAGAAGCGGAATTTCGGGCTCTAGCCCATGGTATTTGTGAAGGAATTTGGTTAAGAAGGCTTCTGGAGGAGTTGAAGATCTCTTATTCCTTACCTATCAGATTATATTGTGATAATAAGGCTGCTGCCAGCATTGCTCAAAATCCTGTTCATCATGACAGAACAAAACATGTAGAAGTTGATCGTCACTTTATCAAAGAAAAATTAGAAGACGGTAGTGTATGCTTGACATATATACCAACCAAGGAACAAACGACAGATATCCTCACCAAAGGATTACTTAAGCCGACCTTTGAGGATTTGATCAGCAAGTTGAGAATGATCAATATATATCTCCCAACTTGAGGGGGAGTGTAGAATATTCTAGATTGTGATTTATCATTTATTAGTGTCTCTTTGTATTGTACATAAGTCAAAGTTTTCTGCTTGCTATTTATTTATGTAGGTTCAGCTATTTCTTGAGGTAGAAGTAGTTGAGGTAGCTTATTTATTGAGGTAGTTGAGGTAGCCCATTGTACTCAATATAAAAGAACCCATTGGGTCTCTCAATGAATTAAGAAAGTGTTATTCAGACAAAACACTTCTTCTTTTTTTCATCCTCACACCCCCCACTTTCTTTCTAGTGAAATTTCTTTCCTCGCACAGGTAGGTGGGCCTGTGCATCGTCCACCCTTCAAGCCCAATGGGCTTTCGTGTGAGGGAGCGTGTTAAGATATATAAAATCACTAAAAAGCCCTCACCCACCAGCTTAAGCTTTTGGGTTGAATTGTGTAAAGAACCAATTCAACCCAAAAGCTTAAACTTTTGGGTGAGGCTACATTAATAGTTTTATACATCTCAACATACCCCCTCACACGAGAGTCCATTGGGCTTGAAGAGTGGACAATGCACAGGCCCACCTACCTGTGCGAAGAAAGAAATTCCA